ATTCTCATCATTGATGTTTCTATCTCTCTCTCTCCCTCTCCATTTCTCTCTGAAATCAATAAAAATATATATTAAAAAAAAAGAACTCAGTCCTATGGCCACACAACTAATTTCCAGAGAGACAGAGAAATGTAGTCCACTGTGTGCCAGGAGGAAGAGAAAATGAGTTTGATGAACACTTAGCTAGTCTTTACACATTCTCCTACATGGCTATGTTTTCCTGAGGGACTAATAAAACTTAAAATCAGATTTTCCACCTGTGAATTAGCAAAAGTGTGAAGTACATGAAAGGCTGATTTACAATCCACATGAATAAAAGAACAACTTCTATTTGTAGAGAAATAGGGGCCCTGGGACAAATAATAGCAAGAATATCATTTATTTGTGGAACTATAACCAAGATTTGGGGAATTTTTTATTTAAATTTATAATAAAACTAGAGGCCCGGTGCACGGATTTGTGCACCAGTGGGGTCTCTTAGCCTGACCTTCACCTTCTCGCAATCTGCGACCCCTTGGGGGATGTCGAAGAGCCAGTTTCGGCCCGATTTTTGCAGGCCAGGCCAAGGGACCCCACCGGTGCATGATCGGAGCCGGGGAGGGATCATGGGAGGGCTCCAGGGCATCTTGCCCAGTCCCAATCGGGGCCAGCAGCCGGGGAGGGACTGAGGGAGGTTGGCCAGCCAGCGAGGGACCGCAGAAGGGCTCCAGGGCGTGTCCAGCCAGGCTTGCCCAGTTCTGATCGTCCAGACCCCAGCAGCAAGCTAACCTACCGGTCAGAGTGTCTGCCCCTTGGTGGCCAATGTGCATCATAGTAACTGGTCAAACAGACGGTTGGACACTTAGCATATGAGGCTTTTATTATATAAGATACTTTTATTCCATTTTATTTTATCATGAATGAAGGAAACTAACAATGGTGATACTTAAACATGAAACTGTTTATTACATTACCTCCTTTTCCAGAATCACCAAAAGTAACTTCGCAGGTCAAATTATGAAGAAATAAAAAGAAAATTACTGGTGGCTATCTGGGTTGAATTAATAAAGATAGCAAATTGTCTGGGTCTTGTTAGCGTCTTAGATTCTTTTGATCTGTCGAGGCTGGGAAAGAACTAAGTATATGTAGGGTCAATAGGCAGGGCAAAGAACTGTTTTATAAAATCACTTCCCTTCTTCCTCCTTTTCCTCCTCCATTGGTCCTATCTTCAATATTCACAGAAGTGGGGATATTTCTTCAGATCCAATAAAGTGTGTTAGATGCCAACAGGACTCAGGCTGAAATTCACTGGAACCTTCCAAGAGGGGAAGGTACATAGGACTGCAATAGGAGCTATTTGTCCATTAATTTAGGCAGTGCCTACTTATTGGAGAGCTTTTATATATGTACATAAAGGAATGAAAGCGGAGTTTTATTCACTATGTCTAATCCAGGGCCAAGTGTATTTAGAAAGCTCACAGTGATTCTGATAAGCCCATGATTGATCAACATCACTCTCATAAGAAAAATACCCATTTCTAAATGAGGCAAGGGGGGACAGAGCTCGCATGAAGGTGAAACTGATCAGATGGCTAATTATATTTAGGGCACGATGAAAATCTAGCTCAACAAAACATCTCTCTGTGCAATGTAATATGATTACAACAAATGTTTTCTAATGATGCATTTTGATTACATTGGCTATAGATGACCAACCAAACTGTTCTTTGGGGTCAAGAACAAATGTAAATGGACATTTAGGGAAATCACTCTCAAACATATGAAATTTGGCCAAAAAAGAAAAACAAGCAACTAAACAAGGTCATCTAGACATAGATCTTCTAGCTGCCTGTTCATCTATATTGCCTTTCCATGATGATTGTGGGCATTAATGTATAAGTCCTCCTTTCCTGGTGAGAGTGAGGATGACCTATACATTTTCTTTTATCCACCCCT